GGGTCGATGTAAACCCCTTGGGGCTCCATCCCGCCGACCTCTCTGTTGCCATCCGCATACCGAGCTAGCAACGCCTCCAGCACCGGAGATATCACAGACACCAGCGACGCCGCGACCTTCCCCGCGTTCTCTATCACGGGGTCCTTTTTCGGCTGTGGCGGTGCCGCCGCCGGCGGCAGCACACTACGCAACCGACCACCGCCAGGTCCCGGCGACGGCGACTTCGCCGGCGTCGCGGGAGCCGCTGCCGCCGCATCTGGCGGTGGCGGCGGCGCCGCCGTCGCCAGCATATCCAGCCCCGTCGTGTGGTCCGACCCGACGTCGTGCCCGTACGACGCTAGTGCGCTGACGGCGGCGCAGACGACGCTGTCGTTGGTGGATCTGAGCAGAACCTCCAGCGCCGCAATGCCGCCAGCGGCGGCGAAGGCGCGTCGTACACCGCGTTCGCGCCCGAGCATGGCGTATAGCGCCTCCGCCGCCACGATTTGGTGTACTCGGATATCGTCTTCCGGTGCCACTAACTCCATAACCGGAAACGGATCTGGCGGCGCTGGAGGCGGTTGGTATTCTGGCTCTGGCTCCGGCTCAGCGTCCACTTGTGACTCGGCGGCAGCCTCCGTCGCCTCCGCGGCGGCGGCGGCCTCGCCTTCGGCGGCGGCAGTGTCCACCGCCGACGCCTTCGGCGACGGCGGTCCCTTCGCCATAGCCGTCGGCGTCGGCGACCGCGTCTGGAACAGCGCCGCGAGCTCCGAATCCTCCGCCGCTAACGCCTCCGCCTCCGCCGCCAGCTCCGCTTCCAGCGCTGCCGCCGCCGCCGCCTCAGCCGCCTCGCGTTCCGCGCGCTCACGAGCCTCCCGCTCCGCACGCTCACGCCGTTCCTTGGCCTCCTCCCGCCGCCGACGGAAGCGCTCCGCCGCCGCCGCGTCGGCGGCATTGCGACGTTCCTGACGGAGGCGCCACGCCCCCACGTCGAGCTCGTGCTGCGCCTCGTTCAGCGCGATAAACTCCGATGT